ATGGGCCCTTCCTGGAAAACAAGAGCCAGCTCTGCCCCCTGGCAGTCAGTGAGTGGCAGTCCTTCCCTGGACTCAGTTCATCCATCCATTTACCCTGTACGTCAGCCCTGGGCGTGCCATGTCACCTCACTCATGTCTCAGACCCTCATCTGTAAAATGGGCTTAATAATAGAACTCACTTAGAAGGTTGCTGTGAGGGTTAAACACGCACCTCAAATCTCTGAGCATTGTTCTCCAAACAATGTAAATGCTAAATGAACAAAAGCAACCCTCTGGTGGTGCTATTATTATTATCATCATCATCATTTTGTCCATGAAGATCAAGATACCTAAAAGGCAACTTCTGTGTGGTGGGTGATGCGAAGACACCACTCATACAAACCTTCCACAAACTAGAAATTAAAAACCCCCAAGGAAGAAAGCATCACAGCTCGCTGGTGCCCAAGTGTGGACTCTCCAAGACGGAGGCTGGAAGTGCGTTAAGAATAAGACCCCCCCCCCAAAAAAAAACTAATAGTATGGACAGGAACCAGGCTGGGGAGTGGGACCTTTTATACATTCCCTGTGTTAAAAAGAAAATTCCAGTTGGTTTCCCTAAGCAATGAATATGGTCCTTTAAAAGGTAAGGATAACTCAGCTATGCTAAGAGACCCCAGAAATACGGTCCTTACTTACAGTCTGTGAAAAATTAAGTCCGGGACGAGGAAGAGAGCTGGTGTTTACTGAGTGACGATTGTTAACCCACAGAAGGCGTTTGGAGTTCTTCCCGGATTATCTCTTCATTCTCACCCAACCATGTCAGGTGGGGAGCTCTTCTTACTCTGTCCATTTTTTTAAATTTTGGTGAAACTCACATAGCAAAACGGATCATTTGTAAGTGAATAATTCAGTGGTATTTAATATATTCACAGAATTGGGTAGCCATCTCCTCTAGCTCCAAAACATTTTCACCACTGAAAGGAAACCCTGTACCATTAAGAAGTTATTCCCCGTTCCCTCCCTACTCCACCGCCCCAGCCCCTGGCACCCACCAATCCACAGCCTGTCACTATGTATTTACCTATTCTGGGTGTTTCCTATAGATCGTCCACTATGTGACTTTTTGTGTCTGGTTTCTTTCACTTAATGCTTTTGCAGAATATTTTTGAGGTTTATCCACATTGTAGCACGTATTTGTACTATGTTCCTTGTTATGGCTAATATTCTATTGCGTGGATATAGCGCAGTTTATTTATTCATCCATCCTTTGATGGACACTTGGGTCGTTTTCACATTTTGGGAATTGGGGACAATGCTGCTGTGAATGTGTGTGCAAGTGTTTGAATTACCCGTTTTCAGTCCTTTGGGATGTATTCCTAGGAGCGTAATGGTTGGGTCACGTGGTCATTCTTTAACTTTCTGAGGAACTGTTTCATACTCTCTTTCTGCAGATGGAGGCAATACATGAATGCTGTAAAATGTTCTAAGTTTAGAGTAATCAGGCATCTCAGACAGAAAAGTGATTGCCATTTTCATGGGGTCACAGGTC